CTTTTATTCTTGAATACAACTGACAACCCAGCTGCATTGAGAGCACTCACAGAAATGAGATTTGCTGTGAGAGATGGAGAGTGCAGAGCATTTTTGAAAGTGAGTTGGATTATTTTCCTATCCACATTGTATATCTATGACACTGTTCCCTTTTCTAGGATTTCAAAATTCCTCCTTTCCTCAACTGCAGAGTTGCTGATACAATAGATGACAGGATTATAGCTTGTGAAATCTTTGCAGTTTTTAAAGAAGAAGTCACTTGCTCTTGAATCTATAAATGTTGGAGTGATCTTGGAGTTCTTTCTCTTGAATGTAGATGTTACAAAGGCTGTATCTGCATTTTCAGCCTCACAGGTAATGTCCTTCACTTCAATCACCTGTGCATCTGTGTTAACCATGTTTTTAGAAGTCTGTTCTTTGTTGCTCTCATCATCCACATCCTGCAATGCAGGCATCTCATTATCATCATCACCATCATCATCATCTGGTCTATTCACAATGGCACACTCTTTGTCTATGACATCTGATTTGGTTTCATCCCAGCACCAGAATGACCATGTCCTGTTTCACTTAAATACACATTCTCTCATATCACTGTCCTCAATAATGACATCATCCTTGTTGTAGTCAGGGTTTAGATGAACAGCCCTCACCACTAAAACAAAGTGCCTGGTTCCATCTGTTGGTGAGTCAGAAGTGTTTGCAGCAGCATGATTAGCCCTATGCTGACATCCAAACTGTCCTTCCTTCTCTCCTCTTGGCCAATAGCAATTTTGAGTAGTGTGTTTTATCCTATTCTGTGCCTTAGATCCAGAATTCATGCATCTGACAGAGCAGGAGTTTGTGAATCCAGCTGCCAAGGCTTGAGATTAAGCAGGTCTCTTTCCAATAGCATAGAGTGTCATAGCATGAGTTTGCAAATGAAAGATAATGTCAGAGGATGAGGCCAATTGATACAAGCTTGGAAGGATGAGCATCCAGTTCTCAGCAGGCAAGATTGAACAGATAATAATGCTGCAAAATTTCTGGTCTGAAAGTAGAGTCATATGAAGATTGTTGACTACTTTATACTTTATATAGAGATCAGCAATGTGAATATCAATATCACTGGCTCCATTGAATTTCATAGCATTCAGCATGAGCTCAGCCTTAGACAAAGCCATGTCTATCTTTTTTGTGTGTTTCTGGAGGATAAAGTCTCAGCACTTCTTTGTCATCCTATCTGTCTTGACTTCTAATCCAATTAGATCAAAGATAATCAAGACAATATGTAAATGTGTCAGTTGATCCTAAAATTTCTATTCATCACAGGAGAGTATGAAAGAATAAATAGATGTGGGCATAGAGTCTGATAGAGGGCCAATGGTGATCACTGAGATTGCTGGACAGGTAATTGTACTGTCAATATAGCCAGAGACCTTTTTCTTTTAATATTTTGGTAATCTGTAGCTTCCATGAAGTGAAGTTCTTCTCATTGAAGTGTTTGTTTGTGTCTGGGAGTATAGTGACTCCAGGTATGCTTGACAACATGTCTGCAATGACCAGGCAGTGGCATGAGGTGGTATGTAGGCAGGTGTTGTGAGTAAAGTGGTTTCAAAGTAGTGAATCACATCAAATAAAAGTTTTTGCTGTGTGTTTTTCTTGACTGATTGATTCTAGGCAACCAAAGCTATAACTTAAAGATGAAGAACAATAATGAGATCTCAGTCAGCACAGCAAAGGTGTAAATGACTGAGATACAGTAATATGTGAGAGCAGCTTTTATAGGTGATCAAGATAAATATAAAAAAGATAACTGAGAAAGAGAGAGAATATAAGTATGGCCTATAGATCCATCTTCAACAGAGCTTAGAGTGATAGCATCACAGTAGGTGGTTCAGACTGAGCATTTGATGTCAACATAATCTCATATAACTCAGTATTTTCCTCCTCAAGATTAACATGAGTCATGTTGAAATAGACATTTCACTTGATAAACACCATCCTGCTCTCTAGCCAGTAAATATGGAATCTATTGCTTATTTCATTAAATCTGATCCACTGATCCTCACATATACAGCTATCTAACTTTATAGGTTAGTCTCAAGGCATGCCCAGCACTTTTCTCCTCATTCTTATAACCCTTTGAGATTGGGCTTTTTTCTCATGACTGTCTCATAGGGTGTCTTGCTATTTAGAGCCTTTGTTGATGCTCTATTAAGTATCCAAACAGCATGGCAAACAGCCTCAGCCCATAGGAAGCAAGGTAAGCCACTTGAATGCAGCATAGCCCTGATCTTTTCAATAACCATGCAATTGTATCATGCAGTCATCTTTCTTGCTGTGCCAACATTTCTCAGATGCAAGACAAATGCCTTGTCAATGTATTCACCTGCACAGTGTGAATGGAGGATTTTTACAGAGCATTCATGCTGGATATGGATGTGAGCTTCATGAGCTTGGTATGCTATCAAAGCTTCACTCTTCTGGCATAAGAACTTGAGGTAAACCCAATGAGTGCTGTCATCAATGAATGAGATGAAGTAATAATATTTACATAGGGATTCCATGGGTGCAGGTCTCTATAAATCAGAGTGAATTTCATCTCTAATATCAGTTGTGCATTCTCCCTCTTGAGCCTTAGATACTGGCTTTCATGTGGTCTTGGCATAGACATATGACTCACAGAACTGTGGTTTTCCAGATGACTTGTCAAGCTTTATCCCTGTCACAAAGCTCTTCCTAACCAGATGACAGGCAACTTCAGATGAAATGTGACTCATACAGTGGTGCAATTGGTTCAAGATAAGCACCTTCTCAGCTGCTCCAGCAGAATCTCCCTCATGACAAACCTGATATAGACTGCCACCATTCTTGGGGACAACCCCAACTACCTTCTCATCTGGTGCATGGATAGTGCATTTTCTGCCACCAAAGGTCAACTGAAAACCAAGATCATCAAGTCAGCCAACTGAGATGAATGTATAGTCAGCTTCAGAAGAGTACATGACTCAGTGAGTTGCAGATTGCTTGCATTTGTGCTATTTGGCACATCAATGCTTATCTTGCTCTTTCTGGCTGTGAAAAATTTTTGAGTATTTGCAGCATGGAATGCCTTAAGCAGGACAGACTCAAATGAGTTGAAATCCCCATGGTAAGGGGAAATATTGCATGTACAGCCAGAGTCATAGAGTTCAGTATGAACTCAGTTATCAGATGAGTTTATAGCATTGATAACAGCTGTGACTGACTCTTCAAAAGCAGATACTTCCTCCAAAATCAGCATGCCAGATGTAGCATCTGATTTTCTGTTGACAAAGGAGTTTACATCACTCCAGTTGACATCTGAGGACAACACACTGCTCAGCTCATCCTACAACTCATCACCAATCTCCAAAAAAAGATCAGCACCATCATCTTGATTCTCTGAGTCCTCTGACAAGCCCTTGATTTCAGACTCATCAGACTCAGAAACCATGGCCAGAAATGGCATATCACTAGCATCATCAACTTCAAATGCACTGCTGGCTTTCCAGTCTGAATCTGATGATTCTACAGCCATATTGTCTATTTCTCTCTTTGATTCAAAATCCTTGCCACCAATGCCTGATGACTTCTTCTCCAGGCATTTATTTTTGGAGTGCCCTTCCTTCCTGCATCTCCAGCACAATTTCTGGCTGAGTGTCTTGCTCTTTTTGTTGCCACCAGAGTTTGATGACACAGCCATGGCTTTATCCTGCTCCATGTCCTTTCTCTTTCCAGACTGCCAGCTGTGCTTAGCTTGCTTACACTCCAGCTGGTCATATTCCTCAGAAATGGCATGGATCAGATTCTCAGAATCAATCTCTTGTTGGAACTGAAGAGCTTTGCTGCTGAGGAGAGTCAATGCATGCTTGGCAAGATAGAGGGGGATAGAGGTGAGAATCATTGAGCAGTAATCCTTCTCCTTGATGATAACACCAGCAGAAATTAATGACTCTAATTTCATTGACAGGCTGTCCAGAAACTCATGAACATTGCCTTTGGCTGGACAATGTGACTCCATAAGCTGCTGCCAAAGGTCAGTCTGTGTATAGCCACTCATATTGGTGAACTCCTTTTCAATCTTTGTCCAGGCTTCAGTGACTGTGGGGAGATGCTGGATCTTCATAGTGACTGAGTCAGGGATCTTCAAGAGCAGAACATTCTTGGCTACAGCCTCATCTTTCTCCCATTCATATAGCTCAGCCATGAGGGCCATTGTGGATGCAATGAGAGTGGGTCAGGGCTTTGATCCATCAAAGTGATCCTATTTCTCTTTGGCTTGAACACCAGTGCAAAAGCAGAGGTAGAAGATAGACCAATTGTCACCAGATGTGTTCAGTGTGGGGATGTTTGATGGTGCACCTGTAATCAAGGCAGCAATGGCAGAAGTGATTTTGAGTGTGAAGGATAGGATAGAGTAATTCTCAGGGCCCATAACCTTTAAGAAAGTGACATGCATTTGCAAGACCTAATAGTATACACTCTTAGCTATCTTATAGACTATAGGTATCAATCAGTAGGGTAAACATAGTAGCATAGGTAAACACTCATCCTCACATGGCATAGCAATAAGCAGAAACATAGTGAGGGTGCTCGACAGTCCATATTCAGTATATAATGTCCATCCCGACATAAAAGGGTATTGAGCTGCACCAGTGGGATACAATGGAGCTCCTGCTTGCTAATCCGACATAGGTATCATGCAGTTCATGAGACAGTACAGTTCAGCTCAGGCTGCACAGACATCACATATATCTAATGTTGAGAATGACCTAAGCTTCGATACCCAGCATCCTTGTGAGGTAAAAAGCACACTTTTTGGAAAGCCGGGCTCTCAGTGGAAAGCCATGGCGACTAGTGAATACGTGCCAGAGTGTGGAAGTTATGTCATAATTACAGAATCTATGGCAGATAAATTATTGATAGCAAGTAGAAAGCATGTGGATACATCCAATCAAAGCAAAGAAAGTTTTCCGTAAATACCAGTGAATGCACTCTCATTCCATCCTATTAAACTGTGCCGTTTTACTCCAGCTCTTTTGTTGGAATTCATCCACTTCTAACGGCTTCAAGACCGCATCCTTCAGCTTCGTATCCCCATATTCTCGCAGACGCAGAAGGACCGTGACAAAATGGTAGACCTCGATGGGCGAGGAAATATTGAATGTTTGAACATTGCGCTCAACGATGTAGATGGTCTAAGATGAGATAAGCGTAGGCATAGCAGTACAAGAAGAGAACTTACCTCGGAGTCGCTCGAACACCAAGCCATAAGCACAGCTCCTTCAACGCCATCCGTCGCCAATGCGAAAACAGCTTGTTTAGTCACTCCTAGACTTGCAAGATACCTAACCGAAGCTTCTGCGTACATTTTTGCTTGCACGACGGCCTTCGCGTACGTCTGGGTAGGCTTCTTGTATTCGGCAACGAAAACGGCGAAGAGAAGTTTAGTGTGCAGTTCCTTAGTGTTCATTACCACCCCAGTGGGGAATGTCATCTTGGGTGCTAATTTCGTCACTGAGCACGTCACCGAAAATGGCTGCAGCAAGTTTTCTTTTCTGGTCGCCCGGGTACCGTTTGATCCTTGCTTGTCGTCGGTCCGCCTCCCTACTTCCTCGTCAGGTACCTGAATATGCCCTTCCTGCTCTTCCGCAATTGCGAGTAGCTCGCTTTGCGTCGTTGCAGACTTCACTCGCCTGGAGTTACGAGCAGGCTGGGATCTCTTAGCCTTCGGCTTCTCCGACACTGCATTTTCATCTGGCTCAG